TGCGTCCTAAAAAAAGTTGTTTATAGTCATGAAGGCTTGCATTGACCCATACTTTCCACTTTTCAGCACCATTATTCGCCGTAGTTGACCAGGTGTTTTTCTTCAGCTCTCCCCTGAATCCTTTGGCTTAGACCTGGCGTATCACCCGTGCATCGCAAGACGCACCTACCACACACAAGTTCATGATCCCCACGAACCCACATCAGCGTCCGTTCGCTTGGTGTGTGACCCCTTGGTCCTTGAACTTTGGCCGCGACAACTGCCAGCTTGCCGGAGCACCCCTCCCTACACGCGCTGCCCCGCCCGCTCCCCTCCCTCCCCCCGGGGTCGTGTCACGAAGGTTCGGGCTTACGCTACTACCGGCCGCTGCGCAGCTGTCACCTAGCGCTTGGGAATGTGTGGTCTGGTGCGGATTCAGCCAACTACCGGCTCGCGACACCAGCGCCACGTAGTGGCGACGGTACATTCTTTTTAGACATACTGTACATATGTTGCAATTAGAGGTCACTGGTCATACCAGGTCAGGTCACAGGTCAGGTCACCAAAGGTCACCAAGGGTCACCACATGAACCCAACTTTACTAAGGTTGTGCGATGCATGTTTTATGGCCAGTTTTTCATTTCCAACTCAATGGTGTTGGTTATAAGACCATCAGGTACGGTTTAGGTCACTTTCTGGTGGAGGTCAGGTCAAGGTCAGGTCAAAAAAGGTCAAATTTCAAAGTTGATATTTTTGCATAAAATGGGTATTGATTCGATGCAGCTCGTCACGGGTAGTCTAATGGTGGTCTTTGTTTTGCGCTACGAGGTCTAGAATGGCTAAAAATTGAGTTTGAAAATTTGACGTCATCAATTTTGAAGTTTTTTCGCTATAACTTGGCCAAAAAAAGGTCTCGATTTCAAATTTGGTATGTAGATAGAAGGCGGTAGGGACTGTCACATATCTTCCGTTTTTTTCGAAATTCTAAAAACTTTTTGGATTTTTTGCTATTATCTTCAAAAAATCTATTTTTTGATTTTTGGGGGTCAAAATCCAAAATTTTCAAAAATCCGAGATAGCAGTTTTGTAGCCCTCTAAATTCTACACCTTTTATGTCAAAAACATTTTTGTGTATCTCTTAAGCTGTAGGCCTGACAGCTCTTCTCGCGAAACCTTTTTTCCGTCGAAAATGGCAGAAATGACGTCACTCTGACGTCATTAGCGTCCAACCTATCATAGCCTTTGGAAAAATTTTTGGTCACAACGTGCAATAGCTATTCACGGGAGGGTACTGAAAGTTTGGTGCCGATCGGCGCAGCGGTTCTCGAGATATATCGAGAAAAAAAACTAAGGGGGGGCCAAAAATGCCCCCCCCCACCGCCTGGAAGGTTAATTCAAGTCACATCTTTTGAATTCAACCGCATTTTCAGGTCAGGTCGGTTCACTGACTTATGACACCATAAATAACTCTGCGCAGTCCTGAAATGTCGCAACTTCGCCCTCAGTGCCAGAGGAGCTTTTGCAGGGAGATGAAACGTACAGGACCTAGTATTCTCCAGAGATCTCACAAATTTTATATCTCGGATATTTCCTAAAAGTCACATGAGGTCAGGTCGGTCACGTGACCTCACCAATATAAGTCAATGGAGAAAATATGGAAAATGTTATTTGGAAAATGATCTAAAACTTTCTCCAGCACACGAAACCATGATTTATTGCAATTCTTGCAAGGTTCGATGCTTCGCTTTTGCTTTGCTGACCTTGCGTGAGCCATTTATGACGTTACTAAGGTCATATTAGTTTTCTTCAAAACTCCCGATCAAATTGAGCTAGGGAGTCGGGAAAGTCATCAATGGGCTCAGCAAGACCTGCCAAATGGAATGATGTGCCATATGACCTCCTTCGACCAACTTCGTGACCTAAAGGGCTCTGAATTGACCTTGACCTGAGGTCAGCACCTTAGGTTGACCCCATCCGAACAAAAAGTACACCATTCAAGCTGCCTGAGCTAGACAAACACGATCCTGCCAAAATTGTGGCTCTTTGACCATTTATGGCGAAGTTATTTACTAAAAAACGAGCCCGCGCTTTATGCCACTTGCCCTGATCTCATAGGTCACCGGTTGACCTGAGACCTTAAAATCGGGTATCAATCACTGCGTCTAATAACGGCGCCGGGCGCACACGCTCGTTTTTTCCGCGAGGCTCTAGCTCAATTAGGGGCAAAACAGCTAGCGGGGGTCGTACCAACGTCGGCCGGGGCGTATGTAGAAGATGTAATAAATATAGTCTTAGGTGTTGTTTTTATCCGCTGGGACTGAGAGCGTGAGATGATGTTTTTCGTACTCCAGCGTAGATGGAAAGCCATACGGCTTCCACGGTTGACAGTGATGACATCCGTCATCTTTTGCAAGCTCGTTAAAGATTTGGGCTGTACGGGGACTCGAACCCCGGGCCTTTGGATTAGCGCTCCTATGCTCTACCTCTGAGCTATACAGACCAAGTACTTTAACGAGCTTTCTGCCAAGTTTTATGCGGATCATTCTTAGGTGTTGTTTTTATCCGCTGGGACTGAGGGCATATTTGGTAAAATTCTTATAATAGGTTAACCCTCGCCCGCACATGCCATTTTCCCATCCTAGAACGCACATGGGGGGGGGGGGGGTGGTTGCCACCCCCCCGCGCCATTTCGTTCCTGTTGGAGATAGAGCTTAGCGGTAAAGACCAAAAAGATTCTTTGGGAAGAGACGAATCCAATGATACCCAGTTTTACCTTCTCAGGTCAGTCATTGACCTTTCAGGTCAGGTCAAACTAAAAACTGTTGCTGTTTTGGGTCACCGTTGGATATCAAGTGCGCTGCTTATCAAATACCGATGACGATGCTGTTTTCTGGTGCCAAGCCAGCTAGAACCTCTTTGTCACACTACCCGACCAGAATTTTGCTGCTGAGGTCATTTCAGGTCAAGTTAGGTCAAGGTCAATTATATGTGTTTGTATGTCTGTGTGTGTCTGTGTGTATACTGATGTGTGCACCGATTGTTTTTGGGTCCATATTACATGAAATCATGATCTGAGAAGCTTTTATCAAAAATGCAGTCAAAAAACTTCACAAAAAGTAAATTCAGCTTGCCTAAAACGCAATTATCTTAGATGACCTAGGTTGACCTTGACCCTGACCTTGACCCCTGTACATCGTCGAACAACATGTTCCATGATAGGTGGGAGGTAAGACTGGCAAAAAAGGCCGAAATCAGGGTGTCAAAAGCTCACAAGGCCCATGGCAAACGCAAGATGTTGAGAATTGGCCATTTGGGTCATGACATGACCTGAAAAACAAGGTCATATCTCCGAAACCAAAAATCACAGAAACTTGAAATTTTCAGTGGACATCAAGAAAGGATAGAGGAGCAGCTATACGAAAAATCAGGCTTCTAGCTCTAAAAATAAATGTTGAGTGCAGAGCAGAAAGACTACCTGGGGGGGGGGGGGGTGGCAACCACCCCCCCCCATGTGCGGGCGAGGGTTAAATGTATGATTCAATTGATAGCGTGATATTAGTTAAAGCTTACAGAATAGGCATTTTTTTCTTTAACTTCAACTAAAAATGCTAACGTGTGCATTTTTGTTATCAAAGACATCAAAGGAACCAAGAAGTCAGTTAATTGGAATAAACACTGTCGGCCACTCCTGAAAGGACGCTGTGGCCTCTGCATCCGCAAGTGGCAGCTCATTTCAACTTATAGCTATGCAAATAGCCAGTCACCGCGCGTCGTAAGATTGAGCTACGGAACACCTACATGTATGCCGTGACGAGTTTGGCATTGCGTTTTCTTTGGCACACATGCTGAAACAAAAAACGCACGAGTAGGCATGACACGGACACGTGCTGGTATTACCAGAACTACACCAAACTGAAAATAAGTTAACACGCGCACCGACGGGGGGGGGGGCGGATATCCGGCCCCCCCCTGAAGTTTTTCACAAATAGCGGGAAGCCTACGCACCGCGAAATTTGGTACGACTATTCTCTCATCAATTTTACACATGGTGTGCAAGTTTGAACTTTCTAACTTTTAAGGTCAGGTCACCAGGTCACTTTGAATGACCCAACCTCAAGTCACTTTTTTGCAACTTTGTCACCGTGCCAGAGCTACAGTAGATGTCGGAGGCCTTTGGAAGTCGCAGGATGTTATAAGGTTATTAGTAGCTACAATTTGTATATCTCGGAATTTTGATATCGATGACCTAAGGTCAGGTCAATTTATCGACCTCCCCATTATAAGTCAAAGGGGGAAAAATCAACTCCCTGTTTTTACCACTAAAACGGGTCGGAATGGCCCCATAAACCATACATGACCTCATATACGATCAACCTTCACTACCTTGAGGTCTGTTTTGCTGTTGGGCAGCTGTAAGGTCATGTGACGTCATCAAAGGTCACCAAAGAGTTTTTGACAATAACTCCGTACAGGAACAAGATACAGCCGCGCGGATGGTCTCATTGTGTTCAGATCGTCAAGGCGCAAGGAATGATATACATGATGACCTCGAGGTCACGTGACCTGAGGTCAACCTTTGACCTTGACCTTTCGAGGTCAACATATATATCATTCGATGCGGATTGACGAGAGGATCACGATGCTGCCCTTAGTTTGTTCCTATATTGACTAGTTCGAAAGTTATTTGAGAAAAACTCTCTCCATACCTAGCTCCGCCATTTTGACTTTTTTGACCCCTGTGACGTCATCTTTGACCTGACCTGAAAATGACCTTTGTAAAAATTGTAGACCTTGTCCGTACGTATCCCTTGCCGTTTACCGCTTGTCGCTATCTTGCTTCGTTCTCGAGATCTCAGGGGGGGGGCGGTCATCCGCCCCCCCCCCCGTCGGTACGAAGTTGGCGCAGACCCCCGTCGGTGCGAGTGTTAATGTGTAGAATTCGGTATGTTTGTATGTGTGCCCTGTGTGAATATTTGTATGTTAGCACCGTCAGCCCACACGTGTGTCTGTGTATGCTGCAGAGCTGCCGCGGCAGTCGGGTCCCCTGACCAGCTCTGAGGACGTCATACAGCGGGACAGCGGGGAGCTGGTTAGCGTCAACTGCACGTCCGTCCAGTCGCGGCCGGCCGCCAACCTCACCTGGCTCATCAACGACGAAAAGGTAGGTAAAGGAACAACGTAAAGGAAAGGAAGGCAAAGGAACAACGACGAAAAGGTACACACACCCGGAGATCGACAGCTCGAGCTTAGCTAGTCCTTTTAGCATGCGGCGCCTTAGGATGATACGTTCTAATGCCTATCCATACCTATTCGTGGCCGTACCGTTATTGCTTCAATTCGTTGTTTTAGCGCCACTTCCTCCATATTTCAACCGTATGATTCTTTCTCAATACAGTTTTATCTGTAATATAAAATAGTTTGGTTTGACTGAAAACAATGCATTTTACTTTACTTGAATGCTTAGCTGAACAGAAAATAATTTTGGCGCCACAACTCAGCACGAATTGCAAAACGGATACGAGAACAATCGTTGATGTCTCTCTCGAACTCAACTGGCATCAAGGTGTCAGACCTCACAGCTTTTTCGTCAGGCTCGCTTCCTGGATGGCATGTTTCGGCTTTCCCTAAGGGTAACGGACTTCCAAATAAGATATTTCCGGAGGTAGCACGTCTTTGATAAGAGCGCCATATTGCCTGAGACATCCCGCTGAAGACCAGTGACACACAGAGCTGGGTCGACTGGTGCGGTACCGGTGCTGTGCCGGCTCTGTACCGATGCTGTGACGATGCTCTTTCATGTCGTCACGCCGTCAGTCACGCGGCGTCCGCCGTCCGCCGTCCGCCCGTCCGCCCGTCCGCACGGACCACGCATGCGGCCGTCATCACGGTAATGTGAGCCGGGCATTAGCCGGATTGGACGGCGGCGGGCGGCGCGGACGAACGGGGACAGACACGCTCATTTGTCATGGCCGCGACTCGTGACTCGGGATACTTGGACAGACTTTGATTCGATCCGGCCGGGGTGCGGCGGGACGGGGTGCGGAAACTTGGCATACTAGCTGCGCGGTAAAAAGCCCGGAGGGCACGGCAGCCGGTAGCAACACATGTCATTAAATAAGTTGGTGTGAATGCTGGCAGAAGTTATCATTGCCCACTTCATCAGTCCCAGATCCTTCCTACGATGCTCGTGGATTACCCCGCCAAGAGTTTTACGATGTGTCAGTGCTGTCATGAATGAACAACATTCTTTGGAGAGTCATGCTGTCTTTATTGGCACCGGCCACCACACGGAAATCCTGAGGTTCCTGTCATCGCTGTTGCTGCAGAGCAGACCTCTTTGTTCATCAGATGAGGCTACAAATTTTACACTTAACAAATATGTTCACTGACTGCCTACGAACATACCCAATTATTATGTCGCGTCTTTGCATTGCAGATAAAAAGATGACATAGGAATGTCTTTCAATTGTCCCCGCGTCTGCTTATGAGCGGTCTTTGAACAAACGTGGTTGAGTTTACGCTCAAGCGCACTTCAAAATCCTCAACTAAATGCAAAGCTGTACTAAAATACAAAATAATGATGCTGAAATTGCCCAACCATGCCATTACATAAACTGTCTCGGCGGGTAAACTTAACATCCTTAAGAATGCTTAAATTTTAACTGGTACAAAAACAAACTGATCGTTGAAAGAAAAGGAATATTGCGAGCAAATTGCGTTTCGTTTTTGGCTTTCTGCAGTCGAATAGCGCCAAGCCGCTGCAGCTCGTTGAGACACTTTATCACACAAATGGCGGCCGATCTCAGTAACACGATCACAGCGCAGCAATATCGTTATTGAACTGTCCGACCTAACATGTATCAGATATCATTCAAAACAAATCATCGTTCAAGACAGATATCGCCGCTCCGGTGCCGGATATTGTCGGACCAAATGCAAACTTTTCAGGCTGGTCCAATCCGGACCTATTTATAATCATTTGGGAGCCGGCGCTCCACAGCGCGGCTTTTAAGCTGTTGGTGGCGGCTTTTGCGGCGCTGAGCCGCGCCTGCCGGCGGCTTCCGAGCGCCGCAATCAGTTCTCCATCAGATCAGCGGCCGAGTTTTTGCTTAGTGCGCTCAACACAATGCCGGGATCGAAAGCGGGCGATATGGCGCGGAAGGGACGCGCGTCACAACGACAAATGGCCGCCATAGGCGCCACGATGGAGCCGCCAACGCCGCCGCCGCTCTGAAAACGCCGCGCTTACACTCGGCTGCCATCTGCACGCGCCCAAGACGGAGAGCTACCAAATGGAATAGCCACCTACTGTTCGGAGTTTGTAGCTCGCAGACGTTGACTCTGAAAATATCGTAACAGCTTGAAGCTTCTTTGGTCACGTTCAAGCTGATGAGACTATCCTCTTCTGGTAAAAGTATAAAATATTTTCTATAGAAACTAGAACTGTTGTGACATCAGACATTCCGCACTTGAGTCTCGTAAAAGCCATCTCAAAGTGTAAAGGGCAACGCCCATAGATGGGCATTGCGGCTAGTTGAACGTGTGTGAGCGGCTCAGTGGGTTCAAAGATTCATGCACGTCCGCCTCCACGTGCTGTGACCTATATGAAAGGCTAAAAGTCTTCCACGAGATCGCTTATAACACTGCCATTACGTAAACGCACAGCCCTTTTCTGTTTCTGCGGGTCCGTTTTTCTCAGTCCATTTGGCGGCACTGCAGTAAGTACTATATATAATGGTGTGTTCGTATATCTGTGCCTGTGATGTGTAGGGAGGGGTGAGTGGGAGGGACAAATGGTCTCGCATCTGTATCTTTGGGTTATTGTGCGCTCCCTTCGGAAGGTAAGGGCTGATGGTCACGATCGTAAGGTTCTCGAGGGACCGTGAGAAGCTTGAGCTCTAATTCATTCACGCCTAGGAAAGTTATGGGACTTTGAAATCTTATTTCAGTATCGGACTTAAATTTGCCTTTGTTATGGGACTATGGAACTAATAAAGTGGTCGCCGGTGACAAATTATAAACATAGTTTTAAAGGATTGCAAAAATGTTATTTTCTGAAGGTCGTATAACAGGTTTCAAAATGAAAATATTTTTACATGCTGCAAAAGAGTTCGTTATGACTACAGCTGCTGACCGTTCAAGAAGGGTTTAGCTACCTTTATCCATTAAACCCCCTTCAATTTTCATGTAACAAATTCTATATTTAATATTGCATGGTCCGGCCGTAGTCCATGCCTATTTCAATAGTGTTCTGATTTTGCGAGGGCTGTATGTATATAGCAAGCGTATGTGTTGTTTTCTACTCTTGCCAAGAAAACGACGATTGTGTTATGAAAGAGTTCTATAGCCTTGTTTTTAACCCGCGCCCTGATGGGGTCTGCCGAGCAACGCGGTCTGATGGGGGGGGGGGGCATTTTGGCCCCCCCCCCTAAGATCTCGAGAACCACGCAACATAGCGACAAGCGGTAAACGGCGTTGGATAGCCCCAACGGGAAACTACCTTGTGACCCAATTTCATTGACCTCGGTCAAACCGATGACGTCACAGGTCAGATCAAAGGTCGAATTTTCACCGTTTACAGGCATTTCAAGAAATGCGTTGTAAAATCGAGTAAAATGCATTTCATTGAAAATCATCGATGGGGAAATGTTCTTCAAACACATATTTTGCTATTTGAGGTCACTGATACCAGGTCAGGTCACAGAGGTCAGGTCACTGGGGGGGGGGGGGGGGGTCACAATATAAAAGTGTCGTGTGATACATGTTTTATGGTCCATTTTACATGACAAATGCGATTATGTGGGTCAGGCAGACTTTTGGGCCAGCTTAGGTCACGTTTTGGTCAAGGTCAGGTCAAGGTCAGGTCAAGGTCAGGTCAAATTAGGTCAAATTTCAAAGTTGATATTTTGCATAAAATGGGTATCGATTCGATGCAGCTCGTCACGGGGAGTTCAATGGTGGTCTCCGTTTTGCGCTACGAGGTCTAGAATTGCTAAAAATTGAGTTAAAAAAATTTGACGTCATCAATTTTTAATAGTTTTTCGCTATAACTTGGCCAAAAAAAGAGGTATCGATCTAAAATTTGGTATGTATATCAAAGAGCGCAGGCACTATCACATATTTTCCGGTTTTTCGAAATTCGAAAAATTTTTGGAAATTTTTTGAGTTTTTCTTAAAAAATCATTTTTTTATTTTTGGGGGTCAAAATCCCAAAATTTCGAAAATCCGAGATAACAGTTTTGTAGCGCCGTTTTTTTCTCTACACAACCACATAAAGAACTTTAAAATTGCTTGTTAACTGTAGAATTGGTGAGCGTTTCAAGATGTCATGTTTTTTGCTCATTTTTACTCGAACATGACCTCAGTTTGACCTCAATAACTCCTGACCTGAGGTGACCTGTGACTTGAAATTTTGTGTGAAGGTGTCAAATTGATGCCCGGTAAGGTACCGAAAATTTGGCGGCGCTGCGCGCCGCCGTTTTCTCGCTATTTAAGAAAAACCACAGGGGGGGGGGGCCAAAATGCCCCCCCCCCATCAGGGCGCGGGTTAAGTTAGAGTATCTTACTTTTTGAGACAGGTCTAACTGTCACAAAGGCTGGCTTTGCTTGTGGTAAACCTTGTAGAGATCACCTCAAATATGATAACTTTCCGATGAAAATGCGCCAGTAATGTAAATAATTGAGTTTGACTGCGGTTGCATACAGACGGTTTAAAGCTCTTTATTTGAATACCAATCTGAAGATGAATGCCTGAGCAGCAAGTAATCTACAGAAAATGTTCCCAGTTACTCGATCTAATCAACTAATCGCCGACATATTCCGGGCGATACTGAAATATATCGGACGTTAGTCATAGCGCTCTTCACTGAAGCGTCCGCAGGCCGGCTTCCTTTAACGGCGCGGCATTAAAAGGGTGCCAGCTCTGCGGCCACATTGGGCCGCCCGATCGTTATTCGGATGGACCGCAGTAAACTTTACAGCTCGGTTGGCAGTGGCCTGCGACTCGTCCCAGCCATTATCTGAAACGTTGTCAGAAAATGTAGCTCCAATCCGTCACAGATCGGTACAGCGGCCATCGTTCACATGAACATGGATGTCGCAACGGAGCCAATTTACGGTAAGCTGTGCAGCTCGGAGCCACGATTGCTCTTCTTCGAGAATTGGCAGTCGGTTATGCAGACTAGATTTTGCCGCACACATCCCATATGTTTCTCACAGTGCATTGAGCTCTGTTCACGTGTCAATGGACAGAAGGAGCGTGTCACCGGAAAACAAACGCGAGCGTGGTAGACGAGACGTCCCTATTGGTGCTATTGCATACAAACAACTTGCTTTGCGTTGTTATGTTTAGTGTCCTGGCTCGCCATCACATCTTGAAAGCAACGACTTCGACTGTGATGACCGTACACATAGCAAATACCACATGATTGCATGATAGTTAAATGACCTTAGTTGCATATTCTTGTGGGTGAACCAGCGCCGTCCAAGTATCCCTACCAATCTCAGCCAGTGTCCCACTCCTCTGATGATCTGACACCCCTCCTCTGACCCCGCTCGCTCTCCCTCAGACGGGAAGTCGGTGGACCACCCTCTACCCCATCGCGACCGACGACGAGGGCCTCCAGACCGTGGTGCTCGGTCTCGACTTCCGGCTGCGCGAGGACCACTTCCGGCACGGCGTGGTGTCGCTCAAGTGTAAGGCCGAGCTGTTCGACATCTACTACAGCGGCCGGGAGGTGAAGGTGCACCGGCGCTCGCTGGCGCAGCGCTCCAGCCCTCTGGGAGGCTGGTCAGCAGGTCAGTGGACGGACGGAGGGTGGGGAGGGCGCGCGGTGGCTGGGGAGGGCGTGCAATGACTGAGGGAGCACGCGCAGTGGCTGGGGGAGGGCGCGCAATGACTGGGGGAGGGCGCGCAATGACTGGGGGAGGGCGCGCAATGACTAAGGGAGAACGCGCAGTGGCTGGGGAGGGCGCGCTGTGGCTGGGGAGGGCGCGCAGTGGCTGAGGGAGGGCGCACTGTGGCTGAGGGAGGGGGCGGAGTGGCTGGGGGAGGGGGAAGTGGCTGGGGGAGGGCGCGCAGACGCTGGGGGAGTGCGCGCAGTGGCTGGGGGAGGGTGCGGAGTGGCTGAGGGAGGGCGTGCAGTGGCTGGGGGAGGGGGCGGAGTGGCCGGGGGAGGGCGCGCAGTGGCTGGGGGAGTGCGCGCAGTGGCTGGGGGAGGGTGCGGAGTGGCTGAGGGAGGGCGTGCAGTGGCTGAGGGAGGGCGTGCAGTGGCTGGGGGAGTGCGCGCAGTGGCTGGTGGAGGGCGTGCAGTGGCTGGGGGAGGGCGTGCTGTGGCTGGGGAGGGCGCGCAGTGGCTGAGGGAGGGCGCGCAGTGGCTGGAGGAGGGTGCAGAGCAGTGATGGGAGTCGAGCGAGCGATGGAGAGAGCTCAGTATCGCCTGTTTGATACGCTCCTGAGTACGTGAGGGGGATGAATTGCTTAAACTTGAGTTTTATGCGTTGATTCGAGCCAGGCCATTTTTTGCTCGTCTTCTTTTGGGTTCGGTCAACTCACATACATTGTACCATTTGCGCAGGTAAGCCTGGAAGCAGTTAGCACTTAGCAGGTTATAGAGAGTTAAAGATACTTTAACTTTTCATGAATTATGTCAAGACGACTCTATCATTAAAATATAAATAATGCCAATTAAGAACATGATCTTATAGTTGAAGCTACATATAACGGCTGTGACCTCTAACCCATGTAAGACAACATTTCCATTAGCAGGTTGGATAAAAATAGCATTTTATCAGCGATCCTTTCAAGCACCATTACCTTCAGCGGTTTACATGGTTGCTATTCATTGGTAATGCGTTTATCGGTTTATGAAATCCCACTGTTCAACGCTGCATTTTGCAAGACAATAGGTGGTGCCTATGATCTCTGCAGGCTCCGTTATTTCGCACAAGGCTATGTTCCGATGCACGACCACAACATGGGCAATATGGAGGGGCCGCAGTAAGGTTGAGCTATCAGTCACGCCTGCTCTGTCAGTCTTGGGAACTCTGAAACCAAACTTTTTGCTTTGCAAAGTCATGACACATTGGTCCAACCTCATGGCGGAAAGCTGCACGAGGGTGGGAAAATTAAAACAATTACATTTCAAACGTTACGAGCGACAGAACATACAATTGCTAGGCAATGCCTAACAATGCCTAGTAGGCATGAACGATCGAATTTACGGCAATGATCCACATAAGCTATTTAAAGGTAAATCTTAGGTACTGAACTGCAATATTTGATATCAGCAGTTGTGCTCGCTTGGCATCTAATTTCGATTATTTTCCCAACAGGCGGCGTGTGGCGTCCGACGCTGCTTCCGGTGGCGCTGGCTTCCGGTCTGGCCTGCATCTTCGCGCGGACCACTATGGCGGCCACTTAGGACGGCCTCTGTGCCGACGGAGCTGTCGAACGACAGCAAAACGTCGGCTCACGAGACAGCGCAGCCCCCAGACGCAGCTCGGGCGCGGCCGGAAACGGGCGTCTCCGGTCGGCAGTTCGGGCGGGCGCCGTTCACCGGAAGTGCGGCTGGCGCCCGGAACTGAACAGGGATCTATTGTTGTGCTCCGGCCAGTCAGCACTGTAGTAAAACTCAGCCGTGTTCAAAGTGGTGGATATGGATGTGATTTGTTGTAAATAGGAAATGATGTAAATGCTATACATACCTAATGTATCGAACGCATCAAGGCCGGGATAGTCTTTGGGCGTTCGTTGCTCGGATGGGAAAATATTATTCAGACTATATGCTCTAGTCTAGGGAATTATAGGTGGGAGCATTTGAGGTAGGGTGCGATTCATCCCAGTTTGGGAAGCCTAGGGAAGGAAAACTTGCAAGTTGCATATTTTTTCTTTTCTTTTTTTTACCTGGCACGGAGCTGTCGAACGACAGCAAAACGTCGGCTCACGAGACAGCGCAGCCCCCAGACGCAGCTCGGGCGCGGCCGGAAACGGGCGTCTCCGGTCGGCAGTTCGGGCGGGCGCCGTTCACCGGAAGTGCGGCTGGCGCCCGGAACTGAACAGGGATCTATTGTTGTGCTCCGGCCAGTCAGCACTGTAGTAAAACTCAGCCGTGTTCAAAGTGGTGGATATGGATGTGATTTGTTGTAAATAGGAAATGATGTAAATGCTATACATACCTAATGTATCGAACGCATCAAGGCCGGGATAGTCTTTGGGCGTTCGTTGCTCGGATGGGAAAATATTATTCAGACTATATGCTCTAGTCTAGGGAATTATAGGTGGGAGCATTTGAGGTAGGGTGCGATTCATCCCAGTTTGGGAAGCCTAGGGAAGGAAAACTTGCAAGTTGCATATTTTTTCTTTTCTTTTTTTTTACCTGGCGCCGTGCCAGTCGCATCGACTGCATGAGGATGTACTGCCGATCGCTAAATGTAATTCTCGTGAATCTTTGTACGAGCTGGTAACGCGTTGGATATATGAGAGCAGAAAGCAGCGCTTCTGATTCCCGTTGCTGAGTGGAGGTGCCTTCTTGCACCAGCAACTTTGTCGTTAGTTTGTCGGAAGAGGAGGCTATCACTGCTACATTTGCTCCTGATACATGGTTCTGCCTGATACCTCATAAGCTATCCCGCAATGGCTGCGATGTGCGATCCTACTGCTCCTGAAAGACGCAGTGTTATCAGGTGTAAATTCACAGGGTTACTGCAGGCTTAAATTGCGACTATGTGCCGAGGTTTATTTAGGTATCGCATTTGCGTATGCTGTAAATAGGGTGTTATATTATTTGTTGGCATTTGTGTCGCTGTGGATGACGCTTTTTCGACTGCGATGCGTTTATTTGTGCTGGGATGTTGTGAGTGCTGAGATGTTGTGACTACGAATGTCAAAATTATATTTCTGTATCGTTTGGTTTTCTTCTAGCAGGTGCTTGAATGAATACAAAAAAGTAACGATTCATAAATATTTATTGCAAGTAGCATTAGATAAATTTTACCCCTCGCATGTGTAGGGGGGGGGGGGGTCGGATGGACCCCCCATGGTTTTTCGCAAATAACTCGCGTAAAAAGCGGCCGATCGCGACGAAACTTCCAGTACCCTCACATTGATCAATTTTACATCTACCCTTAAAATTTCATGACCCAGACACAAATGACCTTTGACCTGTGACCTCTTTTCCGAGACCATGTTTGGCCGGAATCGCGATTCGGCGTAACTCGGCTCGCATTAGCCGCGCGTTTGCAAGCTTTTCGTGGTTTCAAACGTTCAAACATGTGATTTGATGTTGCTTCCATGCATTAGGGTGGGTGTCAAGGCCACCTGAAGGTCAGGTCAGGTCATTGACCTTTGGTGACCTCGGGTGACCTCGGTTCACTTTTTCGAGCTGTACATGTTTCTAGGCTAGTTTTTGGAGCTGAATTCGAATTTAGCAACCATTTGAACATTTACGAAGTAGTTTTGGTGCCTTCGTAACATGTTACGAAGCTGTCAGAGGCGGTTGACACGTACTACGAATACCCGTCACGATGCCTACTGGTTGACCTGACCTGACCTGACCCGACCTGGTCTAAATGCTTAAAGACATTATCTGTGGTCAAAACTAACACGATATTCGTGATCAGCACCCCGAAAAACCCCTTAGCAGCCACACTTTACGACTTTCTAACAGGTCCCGATTTTCCCGACTTTGGGTCATTGACCTGACCTGGAAGATCACCCAATGACCTAGGACCTTAACCCGGCAGGCGGTGGGCCTACCAGCCACCTTCCGCGCGGTGGGGGGGGGGGCACTTTTTTGCCCCCCCCCCGTATCTCCGAAAATACTGGACGGATCCGGAAAATTCAAACGGCGTTCGATAGCCCTGTCAAATTTGTCAAGGGAAACCAAATTTCATTGACCTCGGGGTCACCGATGACGTCACAGGTCAGGTCAAAGATAAAATGTTTCACCGTTCACGGGGCTTCTAGGGAAAGCGCTATAACACCGAGTAAAACGCATTTTGTCGAAAATCAGCGATAAGGCGTCAGTTGTCTAGTACATATGTTGCTATTAGAGGTCACTGGTCATACCAGGTCAGGTCACAGGTCAGGTCACCAAAGGTCACCAAGGGTCACCACATGAGCCCAACTTTACTAAGGTTATGCGATGCATGTTTTATGGCCAGTTTTTCATTTCCAACTCAATGGTGTTGGTAATAAGACCATCAGGTACGGTTTAGGTCACTTTCTGGTGGAGGTCAGGTCAAGGTCAGGTCAAAAAAGGTCAAATTTCAAAGTTGATATTTTTGCATAAAATGGGTATTGATTCGATGCAGCTCGTCACGGGGAGTCTAATGGTGGTCTTTGTTTTGCGCTACGAGGTCTAGAATTGCTAAAAATTGAGTTTGAAAATTTGACGTCATCAATTTTGAACAGTTTTTTCGCTATAACTTGGCCAAAAAAAAGAGGTATCGATCTCAAATTTGGTATGTAGATAGAAGGCGGTAGGGGCTATCACATATATTCCGGTTTTTTCGAAATTCAAAAAACTTTTTGGATTTTTTGGCTATTATATTCAAAAAATCTATTTTTTGATTTTTGGGGGTCAAAATCCAAAAAATTCGAAAAACCGAAATAGCAGTTTTATAGCCCTTTTAATTTCACACCTTTTATGTTTTACACATTTTTCTGTATCTCTAAAGCTGTAGGCCTGACAGCTCTTCCCGCGAAACCTTTTTTTGGGTCGAAAATGGCAAAAATGACGTCACTCTGACGTCATTAGCGGCCAACCTATCATAGCCTTTGGAAAAATTTTTGGTCACCATGTGCGCTAGCTGCTCCCGGGAGGGTACTGAAAGTTTGGTGACGATCGGCGCAACGGTTCTCGAGATATATCGAAAAAACTAAAGGGGGGGCAAAAAAATGCCCCCCCACCGCCTGGAGGGTTAAAATTGGGTATCATCGGCTTCCTCTCGTCACGGGCAGCACGCTCGTTTTTTTCCGCGAAGCTCTAGCTCGATCAGGGGCCAAACGGCAAGGGGGGGTCCAACCGACCCCCCCCCCCTACACATTAGAACTTAGAAGCTGGCAAACGCCGCACACATGCGAGGGTTAATTAAGTTGGCTGATAAAGTTAGGGGTGTTCTGTGGTACAGTACTCTGATATTTGATATAGGAGTTTTCAACTGCATTGAAAATCTAAGCCTGTCGATAGTCAACACTGGTGAGCCACACGGACCTGACGGACCTAGCAGTCTGATTCTTTTGCAGCCTCGGTTCCTCTGCTCCTCCTCACGTTTGCATTAAAATACAGCTGCATATGAAGCGGATAGACGCAAAACAGTCCAATGGTCCCGCTGTTCGGCTGTAAAGCAAAACACGGCGTAGTTGGGAAACTGTTCGGAGAAGAAGTGGTGCCCAGCGACCAATGCGGCTCAGCATTAGTCTCTAGAGAACACCCAATCTGCTTTTTCTGTTTCTAGGGGTTTTCGACTGGTCAATGTGCTTCGATGATTTTATCTATTCACAATAATTTCGTCTAGGATATGCCTATATACTTTCAACGACTGAGGGCTTCAAAGTAAGTGACTATTTAGCTTCCCTTGTTCTCGAAGTGGTGTGCACTAGTGATGTCAATTTCAGAAAACATATGTCCAATGTCCGTCCAATGTCCAATACTTACGTCGACTGTCCGTCCAAAAATTTCCAAGCCAGCCATTTGTCCAAAGATGTCCGACATCTACACAATAGTTTACACTCAACACCGCTATTTAATTTGGTTTTAATGTATCGTTACCAGCTCAAAAGTGGTAATCATATCGAAAGCTGAGCTTTCTAATAGCCAATCAATGTTAAACACGATTACTTTATAAACATGTTGAGGTGTAGCAAGCGATTGTCCAAAGTTGTCCAAGGCCTGCTGTCATTGTCCAACCGAATTCCGCATTGGACATTGGACAAAATCGGAATTCCGAAGATTCAAGTTCCGATTGACACCACTAGTGTGCACAGGACTTCTATACTTGGATTGCTATGCTTAGAAACGTCAAGTCACATGGAAAGGGCCCACGGCATGACTGGACTGAAAGGGTCTTAAAATATTGTAAAAGGCGTGCATAAAAAAACTAAGACACGACGAATTAAGCGCTAACTGATCGAGAGAAATAAACTTCGGCACTATCTTGACTAGAGCTAATGCTGAATCCTAAGGATATCAGTAACATTGGATGGGGTATGCCAAAGCCCAAAGGATATATCCTCTGTCAAACATCTCACTACCCAGACCTGCCAACTGGGGACTCTTGTCTGGTTTTCGTGCCAGTTGTTACAACTTGTTATTGAACTAGCAGATGTCTTTGACAACTTTGTGTGCACAAATTTTCCTTATCAAGCAGATACTACACGGGTCTAAATAAGGAGCAGACAGATTTTCATTTTTAGGTCAGTTCATGTCATCCAAACATCAGCCAGTGGTGCCGAATCTAAATTACACTGAAAAGACAGGAGTGGCTCCCCAAAATCACGAACCAACAGCTGGTGTCATTTCAAAGTGCACATGCTGTGTAACGAGTTCAAAGAAAAAGAGAGCAGCTGCGCTTCTTCTCATCAGTCTGGCAATCCATATGTCACCGTCCCAAAGACGCGGCTCAATCCATACATCGTCCCCATATGGCACCGAGTGTCTGCTGGGTGCAGAGGTACCGTTGGCCCCACCCATATCGGGAAAGTCTCCTGGTGTGACGCTGCACGGTTGTTCCAGCCTCTCTGGCTCTCACGCCGTCAGAAGCGTATAAATACGGCCTGCAGACCTCCAGCGGTTACCAGTGGTGACTGGCGGTGTGGCGGAGATGGCGACCCACCGCGCCGGGCTGCTGCTCTGCGCCGCAGCGCTGGTGACCGCCGACGGAGGCCCGCACCGCGGTGGCCCCTTCTCGAGCGCTGGCGGAGCCGGAGCGTTCGCCGCCGGATCGCGTCTCCGCACACCGAGCTCCAGCTACGGTCCTCCGCACGGCTACCCAGATGGAGTAGGGTACGCCGACAAAAAGGACGGGTACGGATACGGAGCCACTGGCGGATACGACTCGTACAAGAACCCACACGACAACGGCTACCAGCACGCAAACCCCCACTCGCTCGGGAAGCTGTCGAGTGGGTACGGTGATCCGTACAAACGTCATCAGGGCGGATACAATAAGAATCCGTACCATTCTAATGACGGATATGATAAAGACCCGTACCATCCCTATGACGGATATGATCAGGATCCGTACAAGAAGCGTAACGAATATGACCCGTACAAGAGCCATCAAGATGGATACGACAATGACCCACACAACAAACAGCAAGATGGATACTCTGACCCGTACAAGAAGCCCCACACCGGCTACGGTGATGATCCGTATAAGAATTCCCCTACGCTTGGTAGACTAACTGGCGGGTATGATGATCCTTACAAGAAAACCCATGGTAATGGATACGACAAGGATCCCTACAAGCCCCATGGTGACAGTTACGACGAAGATCCCTACAAGCCCCATGGTGACAGTTACGACAAAGATCCCTACAAGCCCCATGGTGACGGATACGATACTGATCCCTACAAGACCAATGGTGATGGATACGGGGATCCATACAAGCCTAATAATGACGGATATAACCAGGATCCCTACAAGTCACATGGTGATGGATACAAGAACGATCCCTACAAGAAGCCACAGGGCTACGCTTCTTTCTCATTCAAAAACCCGCAGAACCAGGGTTTCCGGAGTGCTGCATTCCCTTCAGCCCTGTCTAGTGGCGCAGGCTTCCCCGGCTCAGGGGTAGGAGGGCTCGGAAAGTTCCCGGGCCCTTTCGGAGGGGCAGCCGCCTTCCCGGGCGCATTCAATCGCGCTCCAGTGTTCCCCGGCTCCTTCAATGGCGGCGGCTATCCGTTTTAGTGCGATGTAGCTCGTGACATTTTTTTATATACGTGTGGTAACAATCATGTCTGGATGCTTTGTTTCCTCTGTCTTTTTTGTCTCCATTTTTGTTCCAGGCAAGAAGATTGGGACCTTGTCTTGCAAATGTGTCTTCAAAATGTTTCGTAATATATTCTGATTATAATTTCTAATGTAGGTACTCTGGTAATATCAATGCTGGTGGGATTGAGCTACGCTTTTTTCACTGTTTATGCCAATTGTAGAAAGAAATATAAACGAAAAAAAATATATTTCGTCGTTTCTTGAAGTACTCAACCTCCGGGTGTTGAACATTGACAACACAATAACCAAAATAACAATTTCATTATTCAAATTAATCATCAGGTAAAACGTCCTCTCCGAATAAGAAGAACACTGCGACTACTCATCACAGACGGTGAGGTAGTCTCCCTGGCAGAGGGCCCAGTTGATGACGTGGTGGATGTAGTTCTCCTCCAGACTCCCACGCAGCAGGTGGGCGCCCGGGCCGCGCGCGAAGATGCCCACGTCGTCTCCACCGTGGGTCTCCTTGGGCAGGTAGATGCCGGCGAACTGTTTGTAGTGCGGGTCGCGCCACTCGGCGTCGGGGCCGGTCTCGGTGAGGGCGGCGCGCTTGGCATCCTGCTCCTCCTTGGTGCGGGTGCCGCCGGGACCGTTGGCGTACTGCAGGATCGGGTACGGCAGGCTGGGCGGCGGACCGCCCTTCTGCATACCGCCGGCCAGGAACGAGGCGGGTCCGTACATGTCCAGGCCGCGCTCCGGGTAGCCGTTGATCTTGAAGGTGTGGGCGTGATCGGAGGAGACAACGATGAGGGTGTCTGACTCGTCGGTGTTGTCGACAGCATACTGAACGACCTCCTCCAGCTCGATGGTTTCGTCGATGGCCGTGTATGCGTTGCCGTAGTGGTGTCCGTGGTCGATCTTGGCGCCCTCCACGAACAGCACGAAGCCGTTTGGTCCGAGCTTCAGGATCTCCAGAGCCTTCTTCACCATCTCGGTCAGGTTGACGTCATCGGGGGTCTGGAAGGCGCGGTACTGCATGTGGCTGCGGCTGAACAGACCCAGCACGTAGTCGGCAGATGTGGCGTCGAAGTTGTTCAGCTCATTTTTGGTGGTCAGGTAGGCGTAGCTGCGTCCAAGGGAGGCCTGCTTGTCCTTCCACTCCTGGATCAGGTCACGGCCATCCAGACGGGAGCCGCCCTCGACCTCCTTCGGCGTGAACTTGCCCCAGCCGCCTCCGAAGGCGACGTTGATGTCGATGCCCTCGCGCTCGACGAACTGGGTGGACAGGTCCTTCATGGCGTTCTTGCACGAGTCCTTGACGGGTCCGGTCATCCATTCCATGGCGACGAAGTCGGCGTCGGACTCCCAGGTACGGTATGCGGTGTGGCCGAAGGTGGCAGCGGGAGAGGCGTGCGTGATACGGGCGGTGGACACCAGACCGACCCACTTACCGGCCTCTACTCCGTAGCGGAGGATCGACTTGGGCGAGGAAGCCTCGTTGACGGCATCGCAGTTCCAGATGAGGACGGAGCAGTCGACACCGACCGTGAGGAAGTTGCCTTTGGCGCCGGTCAGGTAGGCGGTGGCCGTGGAGGCGGAGTCGGCTGTCCAGCGGTCGCAGTTGTACGTCTTGGAGAGGCCGGTGTACGGGAACTTCTCCCACGACAGCATGGTGTGCTCGGGAATATCAGCTCCGTGCAGCAGGCCCTTCTGCTTCCTGGCGGCGGCCAGCGTGTGAATCGACATGCCGTCTCCGATGAACAGGATGGCGTTCTTGGCCTGGTGGTGGTAGACCTTGTCGTTCAGCTTGGTCTGGATGATCTCCTGGGCGATGCTCTTCCAGAAGACCGAGTCCAGCACCTGACCAGAGCGGGAGAGGGAGGCGCCGTTGTTGAGGCCCATCTTCTCCTGGACCTCCTTGTAGGAAGAGCCCCAGACCTCGTGCATCTCGAGCTCATCCTGGTCCTCGACCTGGGAGTCGAGCGGCACAGAGGCCACCAGGGCCAGGAGGGTGGCGGCCACGAACACCTTCATCCTGAGGGATTTCGCCGCCTAACTGGTGGTCAGACGAAGATACTGATCCACTCACTCGCGTGCGCTTATATACCACAGAATATTAGGGACTGAAGCGTTACATGTGGTCAGGCAAGTGTTACCTGCCGCGCAGGTCGTGTGTGGTTAGACATATGTCAAGAATTACGCATGTGGTGGATGATTAGGTTAACCATGTGTTTTGCTCGAGGCGTTATCATCCCAATTACTAATCACATAACACATTATGATTGTTTGCAGAACTCATGGTCACCCTTACGCCTCGTCCAATCTCGTCCCCGAGCGTTTTATATAGTACCTTTATCATTTTTTCATAATGATATCTTTACAAAAAATGAGTGAGGAATTGTGTACTTTTTACACGTTGCATGTGTATTGCATTTTCGATTGGAAACAAAATTGACACCTCTTTATTTGGCACGTGGTACACGCCGCGACCATCATCTACATAGATGCCGCAAAAATGTTAAGATGTGTGGTAAAAGAGGTGGCGCTGTCATACCATACTGCCAATGTAGGGGTCGCCTAGCTTTAGGCAAGTCTTCATTGGTCAAGCATGAACACAGCCAGCCACCACCCATTTGCTGCCCGGCCGAAAACAAACTAGATTCGCTATGTGGATGCGTGGTGTAGTGGTTAGCGCACTAACCTCGCGTTCAATTGACACGGGGTTCGAATCCAATCGCCGGCTGATGCTTTTGGCGTGTTGTCCCAGTAAACATGCCGACGTCGGCGACTGGGGGGCTCGAATCCCGCCGCCGGTTGATATTTTTGGCGCGTTGTCCCAATAAACATGCCGACGTCGGCCCCGTCGGTCCAACGACAAACGATCTCGTCAACCTCGGCAAACGACCTCGGCCCGACGTCGGCTCGACGTCGGCTGGACTTCGGCTGGACGTCGGAAGATGCGGGCATATCCGACGTCCAGCCGATGTCGGGCCGACGTCGGCATGTTTACTGGGTATAGATTTTACGTTGAAACTTGAAGTGATATGATATGCAAATACATGTCCCCAAACAGTTTATTGAAAGAATCACATCACAATTTTTCGGTGTTTCATCCGATGCTTATCAACCTTGACATGTTTGTAGGCCAACACATGGCAAACACGAAATACACATCAACAATCACTTAAACTCAAATTTGGGGAACAACAGCCTTGGGAAATGTTTTGTTGGTATTTAATACTTCTTCTGTAGAAAGTTTCAAGCGGGATTTTGATTATCGTTTGTTCTAATGATGATATGGCTCACGTTCTTTAAGTACTGAAGATTAAAGAAAGTAATAAGAATTATTCCAGTGGTTCAGAAGTATGTAAGCCACACACTGGTGGGCTGGCCCCTCGGGCCGGTCGGAGCCGGAACGGTCGGGCGGATCGGCGGCGGTGATGGAGGCGGCGGTCGCTGCGGGGGCGACGCGGGCGTGGCCAAGTGATCTGACTCGGGCGACAACGTGTTTGAGCCGAGAGGTGCTGCAATTTAAGCAAAATGTTTTTGCACCAATTAGCTGTCAATATTATATAGGCCGTATATGAACTGATTGATGAAAGAAATATCTTCATCTATCTATCTACACCACTCAAAAATGTTACTTATAAAGGCTCCTCATGGGAGGCTCGTCAGTTCTAAAAACAATTATTGACTAAACACCATTTCTGACGACATTTAGGCCTCAAACCACAAAATCTATTCAGTGAGAGCTTAATAAAAGATCTGTGCCCATCATTCTCTGCCCAGCGGGGATGCATGCGTGGGGTAATCACGGACATTGATGGTCACCTGCCCATTTGTTTCCATGCTCTGTCCATAAGCGCAGTGGACTAGTAGTCGGACAGTCAACAGGGCATAGCCGCCATACTCCCCCTCCCTTGAGGGCCCCAATGGCGCCTATCCCGTGCCGGGCCGGTGCTCCGAGACTTCCGCGCCGGGCCGGGGGGGGGGGGGGTTCAAAACTGTGAGAACACGGACTTACGTTGAATCTTAATACAATATAATACAATGCCTACTCGTACTATAAAGACGAAAAAATTATTTCTGTCAGTATAGAGTACATATAAAGTACTGTATAATTCAACGTGTCTGTCATCACAGCTTTGACCACACTTGCGACCACAGATGTTTAAGGCAGTCGTGACTAGAGGAACCAATCTCGAAACGCGGTCACGTCATTATATATGATTACCTCTGATGGCGGCCCAAGTGTCAGTCATCACGAATCTCACGTATAAAGCAACGCCCGCGGCTCCTCTCAGCACAGACAGCCTGCAGTAGTGGGTCTGTTGTCTCAATCCTTCCACCAGATCCCTAGGATGAAGCTGCTGGTGGTCGCCGCCTGGGTGGCGGCCGTGGCCGTGGCCGTGCCGCTCGACTCCCGGGTCGAGGACCAGGACGAGCTGGAGATGCACGAGATGAACGCGCCCACCTACCAGGAGGTGCAGCAGCAGATGGGCCTCGGCGACGGCGCCTCCCTCTCCCGCTCCGGTCAGGTGCTGGACTCGGTGTTCTGGAAGGAGATCGCCCAGGACATCCTGAGGACCAAGCTGGCCGATCCCGTGTACGATCATCAGGCCAAGAACGCCGTGCTCTTCATCGGAGACGGTATGTCCATCGCCACGCTGGCGGCCGCCAGAAAGCGCAAGGGTCTCCTTAACGGCGCTGATGTGCCCGAGCACACCATGCTCTCCTGGGAGACCTTCCCCTACCTGGGACTGTCCAAGACGTACAACTGCGACCGCTGGACGGCCGACTCCGCCTCCACGGCTACCGCCTACCTGACCGGCGCCAAGGGCAACTTCCTCACGGTCGGTGTCGACTGCTCTGTCCTCATCTGGAACTGCGATGCCGTCAACGAGGCTTCCTCGCCCAAGTCGATCCTCCGCTACGGAGTGGAGGCCGACAAGTGGGTCGGTCTGGTGTCCACCGCCCGTATCACGCACGCCTCTCCCGCTGCCACCTTCGGCCACACCGCATACCGTACCTGGGAGTCGGACGCCGACTTCGTCGCCATGGAATGGATGACCGGGCCCGTCAAGGACTCGTGCAGGAACGCCATGAAGGACCTGTCCACCCAGTTCGTCGAGCGTGAGGGCATCGACATCAACGTCGCCTTCGGTGGCGGCTGGGGCAAGTTCACGCCGAAGGAGGTCGAGGGTGGCTCACGTCTGGACGGCCGTGACCTGATCCAGGAGTGGAAGGACAAGCAGGCCTCTCTGGGACGCAGCTACGCCTACCTGACCACCAAGGATGAGCTGAACAACTTCGACGCCACTTCCGCCGACTACGTGCTGGGTCTGTTCAGCCGAAGCCACATGCAGTACCGCGCCTTCCAGACCCCCGACGACGTCAACCTGACCGAGATGGTGAAGAAGGCTCTGGAGATCCTGAAGCGTGGACCGAACGGCTTCGTGCTGTTCGTGGAGGGCGCCAAGATCGACCACGGCCACCACTACGGCAACGCATACACGGCCATCGACGAGACCATCGAGCTGGAGGAGGTCGTTCAGCACGTCATGGACAACACTGATGAGTCGGAGACGCTGATCGTGGTCTCCTCGGATCACTCGCACACCTTCGGTATCAACGGCTACCCGGAGCGCGGCCTGGACATGTTCGGTCCGTCCTCGTTTCTGGCCGGCGGTATGCAGAAGGGAGGCCCGCCGCCCAAGCTGCCCTACCCTATCATGCAGTACGCCAACGGCCCGGGAGGCACCGAGGACTGGGCTGAGTTCGAGGCCAAGCGCGCTCGTCTGACCGACATGAGCGAGACGGCCGAGTGGCGCGACCCGCACTACAAGCAGATCGCCGGTATCTACCTGCCCAAGGAGACCCACGGTGGAGAGGATGTGGGCATCTTCGCGCGCGGTCCGGGCGCCCACCTCCTGCGTGGCAGTTTGGAGGAGAATGTCATCCACCACGTCATAAACTACGCCCTCTGCCAGGGAGACTTTGCCACCGTGTGCGACAAGAAATAAATGAATGAATTGCCTAGGATACCGATACCAACAAAACAGAATTGATGATGATTGTCGATTGATCATTCTTTCTTGACATTAGAGCAAAATGAACTACGCTGGAATGCTGTTCAACCGCTGAATTAATACACAGAGGTGAAACAAAGGCCGAATCTTCCACCGACAGCATTTCTTCCACCACTAGATTTCCACCAAGCTCCCACCATAATAGGTAAATATAAAGTGAGCTGTTTCTTACTACCGCAAATGTAAAAAAAACTATTTCGTCCATTTGATAATATCATAGGCGGCGAAGCTGGAAGGGCACAGGGGCACCGTGCCCCCCTTTGATTTTGACATTTTAACATAAGCCCTATGGACGTTGCATAGAAAGCATGGGACCAAAAGTCGTCAGTGCCCCCCCCCCCCTAATTGAAGGTGTTCTGCCGCTACTGGATAATATGGCGATACTTGAACGATATACCACTTATTATGCTTTATCGACATTATCACCAATCTAAAAATGATTTAATGACAAAAACGTTTCTCGGCGATGGTGACTTAAGAAGCTGAACGTTCACTGACCTACTTGTCAGTTAGGTGCTCGGCACGTCATTTTGTCTCATTCGAAGTAGCCGCAAACACTTCAGGAGGTATCTTTAGCGTCATTGTGTTTTTAGTGATGATGGCGACACCGCCATAACCGCAGCCATCTGGACGGTCCACACGACTGAGCGAGTAGCCAGGAATAACCAGGAGGCGTTTCGGGGTAGGCGGACGTAACCCAGGTCTCGGAAGTCGGAAAGCAGCATTGCGTCGTAGCTGAGGCGATCGAGTTCACACTTCAGACTTGAAGTTTTGCTCTTGATACTTTGGATGTTTAGGGCGCCGATTAGTAATTTGAGCGGGTCAGTCGGCCGACTGGACTGGGGAGTCCGCCGTGCGGGCCGGGGTCCACAAGCCGTTTCTGCTGGGATGAGGGGGCGTGACCGATTATGACGGCGGAGGAGATGGGCGGGAAGACTGCGCCGGATAGTCTCGGCTACTTCCCGTGTGTCGTTGCTTAGTCGGTCGCCCACGGCCACCGCCATCAGATGAGCCAGGTCGTATGCACGTCTGGCAGATGCAGCAGTGTGGTCGTCCCGTCGGTGATCGTTGTCCGGTGCTTAGTACTCTACTGCACGGCGAGACCCGTCCGGGGCCCGCCCCAGTGCCAGAAGCAGTGAGCTGTCGGCTGCCATGTCCCCTCGCACGCCGAGCGCGACAGCCCGCGCGACGGCCGCGCCAAGCGGGCCGCCGGGGCAGGGGGAAGGGTCGGCCGGCATTGTTGGTTTAGCCGGCTACCGGCGTCTCAGGCGCCGGCCGGCCCCGGTAGGGGTTGGTCACCATGACAACCGAGGCGGTTGGCAGGGGGAGAAGTAGTAGTTGAAAGCATCCGCATCGGGAAAGAAAATAGTCCTGCAGATATTGACGATTTTCTTGCAAGCGAGAGCAGATAGACGAATGAAAATAACACCGTTGGATGCGTCTTTCAAAAATACACAAATCTTTACTTGGCAATGAATACATCTCCACAATGAATTTTCTGATGGCTTCACGACAGCAGCACGGGCGACGGGTACCGAAATTTTAAACGGGGAATAATATTCAGATCAGTTCACTCACAGTTATGGTGACTTCAATTCAGATCCAGGGCAAGTAGTAGAACACTGAGTACCTGCACTTATCCACTTCTTCGCTTCAATTTATCCGCCAACCTTTCCCACCACACCGCAACTCACTAATAACACTCCGCGCCTCGAACGCGGCCTTGAACAACGCGGAAACCAGTGGAGCTCCTAGTGCTGTTCAACTGTTGAGCGCTTATGCATGAAATAAATGTTATTTTATTAAACAGCATAAAAATACATACAAATTTAATACTTTAGAATGGTGTGGTATAAACAAAGATTTTGAGGAAATTATCGAATGTCAGAATTTCCTAGTCTTTTCAGTATTGCTCTTCCACCATCGTCGGCGCGCCGTCGCCGGCCGTCGGCAGCATTTCATCACTAGCTTTTTTCAATAAGGCCTCAAACTAAAGAAATAATGAGTTATGAACAAAGTAAAAGAGGTCATCGAGATCTAAAAAATCCCATCTATATTTGGTGGCAGTATTGACGCATTCAACGCAGCAGTTTGCTTTATTTTCGTCTTCCACCATCTTCCACCAACCAGAACTTCCGGCGAAAAGTCAGTGGATATAGGGAATTTCCAAGAAATCTGCTAAACACCTGAATATTTCTCTAGGGTTTTAAAAGTCTTCATAATTCTAGTGAAATTCAGGAAAAAAGAGATAAAAAGTATTAGTTTTGATAAAAACATTCCTTTTTTAATTTTAGTTGTTTTCCTTAGACATCAGAAAGTCGCATCGGGTAAACCAGGCAGAGCATCGGTGGCGGCATTTTTTCCACCATCGAGGACCGCTGGCTTGTTCGATTTTCCACCGCCGTGCGTCGCCGTGACGGCACTTTATTTCACCTCTGTTAATACATCTTTGACGTTGTCATGAAAACTGATGGTTTGAATATCCTTATGAATCGAGTAACCTGTGCCTCTTTGTCCTAGTTTGTAGCATTTTTTTTTATGTGTTCTTGCATCGTGACAAAAAGCCCCCTGTCTCAGTGACTATCGCGACTGTTTTTCGAACTACAGATGATTTGTCGTTTGGCCGAAAGGGATAAATGATGATAATCTTATGGAGCGTGGGTCGATTAACCCTCGCCCCGTTGGGGGGGGGGGGCCATTTTGGCCCCCCCCCTGTGGTTTTTCCTGAATAGCAAGAAAACGGCGGCGCGCAGCGCCGCCAAATTTTCAGTACCTTCCCGGGCATCAATTTGACACCTTCACACAAAATTTCAAGTCTTAGGTCACCTTAGGTCAGGAGTTATTGAGGTCAAACTGAGGTCATGTTCGAGCAAAAATGAGCAAAAAACATGCAATCTTGAAACGCTCACCAAATCTACAGTTATCAAGCAATTTCAAAGTTCTTTATATGGTCTAGTAGACAAAAAGCGGCGCTACAAAACTGCTATCTCGGATTTTCAAAATTTTGGGTTTTTGACCCCAAAAAATTCAAAAAATTCATATTTTTAGAAAAACTAAAAAAAATCCAAAATTTTCCGAATTTCGAAAAAAAACAGGAATATATGTGATAGTCCCTGCGCTCTTCTATATACATACCAAATTTCAGATCGATATCTCGTTTTTTGGCCAAGTTATAGCGAAAAAAACTGTTCAAAAATGATGACGTCAAATTTTTGAACTCAATTTTTAGCGATTCTAGACCACGTACGGCAAAACAAAGACCACCATTGAACTCCCCGTGACGAGCTGCATCGATTCGATACCCATTTTATGCAAAAATATCAACTTTGAAATTTGACCTAATTTGACCTGACCTTGACCTGACCTTGACCTGACCTTGACCAAAACGTGACCTAAGCTGGCCCCAAAGGCTGCCTGACCCACATAATCGCATTTGTCATGTGAAATGGACCATAAAACATGTATCACACGACACTTTCATATTGTGACCCCCCAGTGACCTGACCTCTGTGACCTGACCTGGTATCAGTGACCTCAAATAGCAAAATATGTGTTTGAAGAACATTTCCCCATCGATGATTTTCAATGAAATGCATTTTACTCGATTTTACAACGCATTTCTTGAAATGCCTGTAAACGGTGAAAATTGGACCTTTGACCTGACCTGTGACGTCATCGGTTTGACCTAGGTCAATAAAATTGGGTCACAAGGTAGTTCCCTGATAGGGCTATCCAACACCGTTTGCCGCTTGTCGCTAGGTTGCGTGGTTCTCGAGATCTTAGGGGGGGGCCAAAATGGCCCCCCCCCCCCCAACGGGGCGCGTTGCTCGGCAGAGCCCAACGGGGCGCGGGTTAATGATTATTCTGCACATGTCAGACGAGACACGGACCAACCCGCTATATCTTCTCAAGGAAGATCACTTCACAGCAATGAGCATTGCTACCCTGAAACCTCCACTCCATTGCGGAACGGAATGGACAACTATTTCTAGCTAGGAATAAAACTTAGCTGAGAGAATGAGATTGGGGAACAACTGAGAACGATTAGCAAACATGATCATACAGTAGAATCCGTTTAATAAATCCACGGATAACAAAGCCAGCCGCTTATTGTGGCCGTTTGAGCTGTTCACGGATTTTCCCCATAGATACCTGTAGTAAATAGACCCACGTACTCCGCTTAATAACGCCAGTAGCCACTTGGGAGTTCCGAAGTCCGCACTCCGCAGTAACGTCTCCCTATTCGAAATGTGGCATCCAACCCACTCCTAAAGAACAGCGCTGGTACAGCACGGCGGTCTGCAGCAGTTGGAGTTCTAAAAACAGGAGTTAACCCGGCAGGCGGTGGGCCTACCAGCCACCTTCCGCGCGGTGGGGGGGGGGGCATTTTTTTGCCCCCCCCCCCCGTATCTCCGAAACTACTGGACGGATCCAGAAAATTCAAACGGCGTTCGATAGCCCTGTCAAATTTGTTGAAGGAAACCAAATTTCATTGACCTGGGGGGTCACCGATGACGTCGCAGGTCAGGTCAAAGATAAAATGTTTCACCGTTCACGGGGCTTCTAGGGAAAGCGCTATAACACCGAGTAAAACGCATTTTGTCGAAAATCAGCGATAAGGCGTCAGTTGTCTAGTACATATGTTGCTGTTAGAGGTCACTGGTCATACCAGGTCAGGTCACAGGTCAGGTCACCAAAGGTCACCAAGGGTCACCACATGAGCCCATTTTTACTAAGGTTATGCGATGCATGTTTTATGGCCAGTTTTTCATTTCCAACTCAATGGTGTTGGTTATAAGACCATCAGGTACGGTTTAGGTCACTTTCTGGTGGAGATCAGGTCAAGGTCAGGTCAAAAAAGGTCAAATTTCAAAACTGATATTTTTGCATAAAATGGGTATTGATTCGATGCAGCTCGTCACGGGGAGTCTAATGGTGGTCTTTTTTTGCGCAACGAGGTCTAGAACTGCTAAAAATTGAGTTTGAAAATTTGACGTCA